TCAATTGTTTTATATGTTTGCATCATTTCAGGTCTTTTCAGTGATAATAATCAAACAAGATTGTATTTTAAAAAAGGCTATGTCACCTCATTTATACATGTATAAAGTGTTAACAAAGTATATTTTTGATCTGTGCATTCATGTCAATTGAACTGTCATAATGCTGGAGCGTCTAGTGGATTTGAGGGTCAATGTCATATTTTAGCATTTCGAACGTAAGACAATGTGTATAATTGTTATTTAATAATAATTTGATTACTTCTGAAATGTGTGTTGACATTTCTATCAAAACGACACAATCTATGTTGTAACATCTACCAAAAAAGATATATACCCGTGCTACATAAAATCGACCGCCAATACTGGACGAAATTGTTTAGTCTGATGCGTTGTGAAAGTAGAATTTTGTAAGACTTAAAGTTTTGCTAAGAAGAAACTATATACTTTTCTGGTGAAAGTTTCTGATCAGGACAAAACAAATTGATTAAATGGCGGCCCTCAGCTTTTAGCCTATTAAAATTAAATAAGCATTTTGTAAAATCACTCAACGTATCTTTACATGATTTAAATCGACAGCCCATCTTGTTTGTTTTAAATATTTTTTTTCTTATTAACATATCACTTTTCACATTCGGTTAGTTATTTGTAACTATTGCTGATTTAATGTTTACATATGTAGTTATTTTTTCATGTTTGGAAACATGTAGGTGTTACAGTTCCTTAAATATAGCGTGATGTAATAAACAGCTGTATTTGACGTTAATTTACTGAGCTGAATGAATATACATTTATTCTTGTAATATGCTTTGGTCATTTAAAGATTGGGTTAGCTGTGAACAATATACAAGAATTCAAGAAGGATGCCGATCTTTCCAAAAAGAAAATGCAGGTCAGTGTAATGAGTCAAACGATTCGACCTTATTTGCGTGTGCATTTACTTGTCTTCATATGCAGTCAATTAATGGAGTTTTATATACGGTCTTACACAATCATGCTGCATGTCTTTAAAATTAAAGAATTTTTAACTTAGTATGCCCGCTAAGGTCAATAGGGGTAACATTAGATTTGAACATCAGGACTCACTAATTATAAATTGTATCATAGTTCGGAGACCTTTCTGTTGAAAATGTGTCAGGGTTAAATCGTATACATATACATGCACAGTGCGTTAACTGGAGTGCGGGTATTAGTTACCCGCACTCCAGAGCATGCCCATTGATTGGCTCATTTTTGCTGGGGTTTACATATTGTGACGGCAGAGAAAGGGAAAGCGACAGAAATGTCATATTCAGATGTTCGTTCATTGGTTCATTTTTGCCGGGGTTTCATATTGTGACAACAGGGAACGTGCTTTTATGTTTGACTATGATACAAAAGAGAAAGAACACCAAAACACTCGGCAATCTGATTTATACTCGGGGGCTACGCCCCCTCGTACAAATCAGATAGCCTCGTGTTTCGATGCTCTTTCTATTACTTAAATCGGAAGAGACAAAGTTTCTCCATCTTAACCACTCATTGTGCTGGAACCATTTATTCCAAGGATCAGAAAATATAGCTTACAAGTTATTACTTACCAGTTATATGTGATTCGTAGACAACGCAATTGAATTAGGTAATTCGATCTTAAACATTGACATAATAACTAAAACACCAAATTTTTATTGATTTATAGAATTCAGCATACGTCATGAATTGATTATTTAATAGATAAGCTTGCATATACCACATATCTTAATATAACTGAATTGAAACTTAAGTATGAGACGAAAAACAAACAACTAGGGAGAGAATATGTCACGGAGCGCAGCACCTACAAAATTCAGAGTCAATTCAACCCAAAATTATATCAAACTTGCTTGGAAAACACACATGATGGGGAAGGGCCAATAATACTTTAATTAAGAATGACTTAAACAAACTTGAGACAGAGGCCGTAGGAAAATAAGTAGAAGGGGAGGTAAAACATTCTGAAACGTACGGCGATGCAAATTGCAACAAATACTAATAATAAATGCTTTGGACCCCAAAATATAGCACATATTAGTTCGAGACAACACATACAGAACAGAACGTCAGAAGTTACAATCATATGAGTGCATATCAAGTAATATAAGTTTTAAGTTCTGTGTTCGTTTCATGCTTGTATACGTTTTACTGGGTGACATTAATAAGGAGGTGTAGGCGGAATAATATTACTTACTATGAAATCTTATTCCAATAGTCTTATATTGATTTGGATAATCTAGTACTGCATCTATTTAAACAGATTTCCACAAAATTCTATTAAACATTAAAACTACTGTTAATGACACGTATGGCACTTACTGTGCTTTCTTTAAAGATTTCTTAATTAAGAGTTCAGAGTAAATCGTATTTGCATAACAATATGTGAACATATATTCTAATACACTCGGATTTGAAAACGTTTGGTTTGTGTGAGGAATAACTTTATCATTTTATAGCATAATATGAACTTTATTTTTTTTTCTTTTACTTGCATAAAATGTAGGTCGAATTTGCATTGGAATTAGAAAGATTATCAACATCGACCCTGCTGATAAAGATTTTCAATTTTTTCTCCTCAAAGTATAAAAAATATATATCCCAAGACGAGACTGACGAGAATGTCGCAACATTTAGCAAAGAGGAAAGCCGTGTAGAAGTCGAAAATACAAACCAACAGACAATTCAAAAACAGAATGATTGTATGGAGACATTTTATCCAAATAATCTAGGCTGGCTCGAGGAAAAGTTTGCGGAATCATGGAAATTAACTGAAAGTGACATAAAATCAGGATTACAAAATGAACAAGTATTGATACAAATTCTCAGTTCTTTCCTTTATTTTGTTGCAAAATGCGGAAACCATTTTTCACTTATATAATAACTTATTTAAAACGAAATTATCATTCTCAAGATAAGAGCATATGATTAAATTTATTTTCTTCATATTTACCAAAAAACAAGTAAATGACTTATGGGTACTTAAAGAACATATAGTATAAAAATTGCTTTCAATGCATATTTATTTGGTTTAATTTTGATTTTCTTTCATTATGCAAATTTCAGAACATTCACTGCAATATTTTAAACAGATATTATTTGTCTGGGTAAAAATATGCTACAATTTTTGAACGTCTTTAATAAAAAGAAAATGTAGATTTCTATTCTTACTTTGGATAATATCAATTGTACGGAAAAATCAAATATATACATTAACTATTATTTTTCGATTCCAGGATGAAACGACAAGAAATATAGCTCAACTTGAGAGGAAAATAGGCACACTCGAATCCCATTTGAAGACACAATTGGATAAAATTATGCACAAACTAGATTTTGATTTAACAGTTTAAAAATGGTTTAGAATGTTTGGAATAATCTATTCCTAATGCATACATTGCTCAAACTACGAGTATAAACAATGCTGATATCATTCTAAAATACGTAAGCTGTACATGTTAAGATAAAATAACGTTTTTAATATGAAAATAATATTGACAGACCAGCGAGTGTTAATAACTTAGATTTATCAGAAGCAAGAAAAACAACAATTGTCCATGAAACTTGTATTCTCTGTGTGATTGAATTTGTCCATAAGATCAAAGCCTGAAACACGCCTAGTATTTTCCAGAGTGGCATTCAATTTTGACCGCAAAAACGTGCTTGAATCATTTATACCAAAGGACCCAAGAATTTTAAAACATTATAGTGAAGTACGATCAAACTTCATGTATTTTCAAACAAATTCCATGTAATTTAAATGTACATTAAGTTTATATTTGCACAATATTTATATGTTATTTTGGATAATTTGCTTACAATTTTATTTTTAGTGTCTTTTTGTGTTTTTTTTTCTATTTTTGTGTGTATTTTTTGTTGTTGTTAATTTTTATCTTTACATACTCTTTGTAACAGATAAAAGTACAAATCTACGAAAGGACATGCGATAGTGTGCACGATGGAAATCTGTATAAATAAATGTGAATAACTGTTGAATATATGAATAGAAAAAAAACATATATAATGAAGGAGTCTGTGAGTTTAACTAAAATTTGGACTTATATAGGGTTTTTTTTTCTTTTTGTTTGTTTGTTTTGTTTTCTGTTGTTTTTAAACTAAATAACACTCGCATACATTTAATCTCCTGCGAAAAAAAAATTTAACATAGGATATACCACATATGATATACTTTCGTGATATATTTCTGTTATAAAAACAATAAAATGTGGATCAAGTATATATTGTATATATTAAAAACAATAAAATGTGGATCAAGTATACGTATATTGATTGCTGGTTTGATTGTCTTGTCTGAAAAAATTGTAGCTTTATTCCAAAATATTTTAGAGAGATACTTATGATAAAATCGCTAACAAAGATTATTGCTACATGTGTTTCTTGAAACTAACACAAAGTTGATTTACACACGGTTACATATTTGTCTACACGACCTTTGCGAATATCAGAAAATAAATATAGTCTAGTATATGTGTCAATTTATCGATAAAGGTTGTGCATGCTTATACATGAATTTTCTACGAATTGTCGCTTTTAATCACTTTGCATTTTTAGCCCTGTATAGATTTTGCGTTTAATATATCTATAAGAAAATGTAAAACACTTCCGATCCGGGGAAGATCCTAGTAAATTGGTCAGTCCTTTACCAAATGAAAACATGTCTGAAATGTTAGTCAATAAATAAGATTAATTTTATGAATATGTGATGTGACATCATCTACCTGAAACAAGATATCTATCTACATTGTTAATGATTTTTAAGCCATATAATGAAACAGCAATTTTTAATACATTATATTCTGTACCCTTCGGATTTTTAACAAGGACGGCAACGAAATGAAAATGAATATTACAATGTCTGAAAAAACGTACTTCATCATTTTGCATCTATGAATTTGTAACCAAGTCAACTACCCAAAAGGTCTAAGGAGATAACAGATTTTTTTTAAATTCTAATTTGTCCGTTTGTCTTCCACATGCTTATTAAACTATGTAACTACATGTATATAATACACCGGATAGATATTTTGTGTATTTATGCATTAAAATTTGCAATTTTGATTAATAATCTGACGTATGGTAAATTATACTTTTTACTATGCTTTTGTATATTTAATTATAGCTTTTGTACCTTCGAAAATTACTGCCAGCTTGTAAATAAATTCATAATGATACATTTTTTTTACACACAATTAAAAAAAAGTATGACTTTATACATGTAATGAGTTTAAAATTTTTAACTACAATATACAGTGTAACTTCCGAAAACCGAACACCCATGGGACTTGTCAAAAAGTTCGGATTTCAGAGGTTTCCGGAATTCAGAGGTTTATGATAATGTGGACAAGACTAAGCCACTTAATATCACTAAATGTCAAGGAAGATGTGGCCATTACTGGAATATCATATATAATAGTCTTTTAATCAAGATAAAGATGTGAATGAAAAGAATACATTTTTATCTTACACCTGCAAATGCTTTTGAATTTCTATCAGTTTGTAGAAATGTTGTTAATTGCATAAACTTACACATCGTCCGATGCTAGTTAATTAATTATTACATCAAATGCAAAAAAATCCCTAAAGAGGTTTGATGCATACCTTGTCCCAACTAATTGTGATTTAATCCGCTAATAAACACTTCAAATTAACTGACCACGGTAAATTACTTTGATTAACCGCATCACTTCAAACATACCATTTCACAGTTTGTGATTTTAACGCGTGTCAAATTACACGATCACCGCTAATTAGTAAACAATCGATAGGGAGATTAAATCTTCCTGCAGGGTAAACATTCTCAATTTACAATGTATTTCACACCTTTGGATATTTCCGGTTTTCGGAGGTAAAATTGCATTGATTTGACTCTAATTTTACGAAAATATCGTCCGGAATTCAGAATTTAGAAGTTCCGGAATTCAGAAGTATTATATTAATAGGAAATAGAAGGGAAAAAATCGGGACCGAAAAAATTGTTCGGTTTTTAGAAGTTTCCGGATTTCAGAAGTTCCGGAATTCGGAAGTTACACTGTATCAATTTATTCTTGTCATATTGATAGTTACATTTATAATACAAGGACCATTCAATAACTTCTATCACTTGGTTCAAATGTTGTACCTGTCACGTCTTATTCTTGTTCAAACCTTCAAAGAATCCTCCTCTAATGGGATGCATTTTTGAAATTTCTAAGTCAAGTTTCGAGGTTGTAGGTGTACTTGAACAGTAGTCATCTTTGACAGATAATTTCCCAGCGTTAAAGCTTTGATCCACCTAAAGACCTAACAATATATGCCACACAAATTCAGTATGTTGCTGCTTTGCAATTGTATCAAGCCCAATATGGCATTAAATGTAGCTTCAAATCACAGTTTTGTTGTGCATTGTACAATATGTTCAGTATATTGTTCAGTGAATATGATTGCATGTCGCATTTCACATTGAAGTATAACGGTCATTTTACACTCAAATGGTATGTAAATAACCGCGATAGTTAGCAAATGATTCTGATTCAAATGCAATGAAACTTTTTGAAAATAATAAGAGGATTAAACTTCGGAAACCTATTAGTGAAACAATTTATTGAATGATCCTTGTTGTATTATTGCAAAGCATTGTTGTGATTTGATTATATATATTTTTCCCTCGAGTTCTTTTTATAGATTTATCAGAATGATATAGCATACGAGTTGTAACAAGTTTGAATAGTGAAATTCGCCTCATGTACTGCTATCATAATATTCACATGTACTTTGCATTGATATGAATATTAAATGCACTGCACTAGTACTCATATTTGTTTGTTTTTATTTTTCGAAGGACCAAAACACTGATAAAACAAAGAAGTCTCAAATAATTCTGTTGTTCAAACAAAGCTCCATTTGGATTACATGTTGTCAAACTTATATATAGAAAACAAATTAAGATATAAATGTCATAAATACCATTCTATTAAAAACTGGGTATAAAATCTCTATTCACTTTAAAGAATAGGAATATTCTTTTTATCATTTTGTGCCAACTTGTTTGAACACAATAAATGGGTCATTAAATTACAGATCACCATTGTTCATGACTTCTTCAATGGTAAGTGTGTATTTTATCATAATTTATTTGTGGTGACTCGTTATCTTTGTACTTAATTGTACTTGTACTTGTATTTTTCATATTGACATCAAAATTTCGTGTATACTCTGATGAAGTATCAATTTCTATTTAAACCAAAAGATCTTTTGTTTTTCAATGCTAGAAGTATTTAAGAACTTTGAAATTGACAAATTGGTATAAGGTATCAGTGTTAATAATATCTTTTTCCTGCTAGGAAATATAGCATATTTCCAGTTCATAATTTTTATGTGAGCGTATAATTGGGTTTCACAACACAGAGAAACTGAAACTGCATGAAAACATTACATTATACTGTGTAATAACCATTTTTATCTAAGCGCAAGCTATTGTAAATGGTTATAAATTTGAACAATTTATCTGATAAGTATGTACTTTCATGGAAACATATTCATCGCCTGACACAATTACATCCACTTAATGTTTTGAAATATCATTCATACAAATATAATTGATTTTAATGTAATAATCATAGGCAAATGTCAATGATACTTATATTATTATCATATTATTATTGTTATCAAAAGAAAACAAAATAATAATGATAATAATATATACTTTCTTTGCAATACTATTAATCATTTGCCTTCCTAAACGTTTTTTTTATCATCAAAATAAAGCCTCTTGGTATTGAACAGTGAGTACATAATTGTAAATTAATAACATGTATCGCAAAAAACTGCTTGAAAGTTATTTATATATGCTTGTATAACTAAATTTTGGTCACAATTCACGAGTATGATATAAATATAAAAAGGTGCAAACGGGACTGTTTATGAGATATTGAAATCAATTTAAGTTTAACTGTTAGTTTAACTAATACACCAATTTCCTTTTACAAATATTGCGCTGAATGTCATACCACTTCATGTGTCTATTTACGATGTTAATATGTATATGTGTATACGTATGTGATGTATTTTGTACTGTAAGAACCGCCTCCGTGGTCGAGGGGTTAGAGTCGATGACTTCTAATCCAGTTACCTCTCTGGCGTGGGTTCGATCCCCGGGAGATGCTTTGGTAGTTTAGCGCGGAAGAAGGTAGTCTAGTACTGGTGTAACTCTCCAGGAACGATGGTTAGGAAACTACCCGCCTATATGACTGTAGGGAAAAGGCGTAAAGTGAAACCAACAAACAAACAAACTTGCAATTAAACCGAGTCTGCAATTCTCTTGTAATTTTGTTGTGATTAATGCTTCCGAGGGATAACTTTGTTTCCATATTTTTATACTTCGCAACAGCAGGTGACAAGTGCTGTGTTGCAGCTGTAAAAAGTTGTCCCGTACTTCACTTTAGTGTTGTCATATTTTTCTGGTCCTTCGGGATCATTGATGCCAGCACTATTAAGTGTTGAGAATTAAGTACCTCTCAAGCCGGTGCTAGGGGGCGTTAGGGATGTTGCACGTATTCATTATCTCTCATCAAACCGAGTCTGCAATTCTCTTGTAATTTTGTTGTGATTAATGCTTCCTAGGGATCACTTTGTTTCCAGATTCTTGCACTGTAAATTTACTATGTTTGGTGTTCGTTTTCAATGAAATATCTTCAGTTCTGATAGAATGTAAATACACGTATATAATGATAATCATGACCTTTACAATCAAACACCATGTTAAGGATTTGTCGCAAATAATACAGCATTATACATATTTATGAATATGTCAGTGAGCATTTTTTTCGATCATTTAAAGTTTAAGTTGTAGTATAATACTTAAATTTGTTTCCTTATTAAAGGCATGCCAAAGTAAAAAATATTTATTAGCATAAAAATTAATAGTATTATTACATGTTTGTTGAAATCAAATTTGTTTTTAAGTAAGATTAACAAAAGTAAAACATTGAAAAGTACAAAATTTATAACATGTTTCGGGTCACTTTCGCATTTATCAAAGACTAAAAAGGCAATATGTTTTAAAGAAAGAATTCTTAATTAAACTTGTTATTGTTAAACAATGTAAAGCTGATGAGTGGAACATATTTATAAGTTGTGCTATCATGTTTTCTGGCCATAAAGTAAGCCATAAAACATAACAGCACAATTTATTAATATGTTCCATTGATCAGCTTTACATTGAATTAAGTTTTGCTATAACAAACAAGTTTAAAGTCTTGCTATAACTAAGTAAATCAATCAATCGTAAAACAAGGCGTTTCTTGCCTACTGATTCATACTAGCCATTTGTGTATAACATCTAACACTCTGTATTCTAAACATTCTACCGGTCATGTTCGCATAGACACACATGGAAAAAACACATTCTATGACAGGTAATGACATAATAAATACGTTTTTGTTTATTTTTTTTCTTATATTACAAAAATAGAATAGTTATATAATTTTCATGTTAATTTTAAATTGGCATTGTACGGATGATATATTATAAATTATAAATACATATTAAGAAACGACAAGAAGCGCCGCAATGCGACGAAAACCAGGTTTTCAACGACCAAGTTTTGATGTGACAGCAATCAATAGGTCAAAGTGCACTGAAGTTATTGAGTAGAAGCTGAAAATTCTATTGTAAAGCAAATGACCTTGACGTTACTCCCAGATATCTCAGTGGCAATCCAAAGCTGCCACTCAGCAAGTTTGGTGTCAAAAGGTCCAAACAAACTCAAGTTATAACATGAAAACTTAATACATTAACCTTCATCACAGACACCTAGGTAGCAATCCCAAGCTGCCTCTTGATATAAGCTATCCATACACCAAATTTGGTGTCAATAGGCCAAAGCAAAGTCAAGTTATTGAGCAGAAACTGAATTTCTCTTTTTAGTAACAATGACATTGACCTTGATCACAGACACCTGGGTAGCAATACCAAGCTGCCTCTTGATATAAGCTATCCATATACCAAGTTTGGTGTCAATAGGACAAAGCAAACTCAAGTTATTGAGCGGAAACTGAATTTCTATTTTTAGTAACAGTGACCTTGACCTTGATCACAGACACCTGCGTAGCAATTCCAAGCTGCCTCTTGATATAAGCTATCCATACACCAAGTTTGGTGTCAATAGGCCAAAGCAAACTCAAGTTATTGAGCGGAAACTGAATTTCTATTTTTAGAAACAGTGACCTTGACCTTTATCACAGACACCTGGGTAGCAATCCCAAGCTGCTGCTTGATCAAGTTATTGAGCGGAAACCAAAAGTTGACGCCCGCCCGCCGACTTCGGCATTTCAATAACCCGGTTTTCGTTGAAAACCTGGTTAAAAACTTAAAAACAAAACTAGAAATGTGTCTACAGGGTACTTACGCACCAACTACTTTTGATACTCTTTGGACATACTAAACTAAACATCACTAATTTTGCGTCATTACTTATTTCACGGTAATTTCATATTTTCATGTGATCAGCATTAAAATTGGTCAGAATTGACGTATTTTATTCAAACACCTAACAACAAAGTTTTTGTGCAAACTATTTTATATCTATAGATTATTACGTAAAACAACAACATTTTACAAACTTCTGCAAAAAGCAACAATAGTCAGTTAAATTTGTACATATGTCTGAAACAATCATCATTTTCTTAATGTTCTTGTTTGTTGAAAAAAAAATTGACTTACAATGTAAAGATACTTTTAATATTTACAATTATGCAAAATAACATGTAGAAATTTTAGCTGAAACATGAACAAAATGAACTAAAACACCATTACCGCGATTTAAATGATGACATACTGTTTTCAAAATGGCCGACATATGGTCTATTTATTTATTTGATATTTTGAATGATTATGCCATTTTTTATGTATTTTATTTAAGTGTCAAAGCAGACCATTACATGTATACTGGATGGTTAACATCTGCAGAAAAGCACAAGGAAACATTTTAACTTCGTGCCTGCAAGACGGGGATTAAATAAGTCCGGAAATAAAGCTTGATGTGCCGTTAAGCAGATATGAAGTTTTATGTACAGACAGACAGATGGAATGAAGGACACTCTAAAGTTATTTTTAAACATCCCTGTTATCAAAATATAACATTTTTAAAAGCAAAATTCTTAAAAAGGAGATAACTCTTGAAATAAGGTTGCAAGACGTCATGCACGATGTGAGTGTAACAAAGAACAATTAGTAATGAAGGTGTTGATAATGAATGTTTATTTTGAATTTGAAGTAAAAGAAAGTAAAAAAAAAAACAATATTTTTTTCATGAAAATTCTCAGTTCAAGGGAGGAAATTCTGATAAATTTTGTGCTAGAGTTGTAAACCTTGTCACATATGATGTGGTTGATGACAAGAAACTTATATTTAAAGTTTGAAAATACCTTAAGAAATAAAGAACTTATAGTGAAAAAAACGTAAAAACTAGAATCAGAAATCTTGAAATTCATGCTATTTGTTGCCATAGCAACCACAATTTTCAACATAGGAAGGAAAGAAAAGGATGTGCATAATCTCCAGACTGCCATCTACCCATATTTCAAGTTTCATCAGTACTTTTTGCGTTATCACTGGATCCAGGTTATGTGTAAAATTTGCCATATTTTCAGTCTATTTGTTGCCATAGCAACCAGAATTTTCAACATAGGAAGAAAAGAAAAAGACGTGCATAATTTCCATACTGTCATCTATCCATATATCAAGTTTTATAAAAATATTTTCAGTACTTTTTGCGTTATCGCGGGATCCAGTTTTGTGGACGGACAGACTGACGGACAGACAGACGGACGGACGGACTGACGGATGGACAGACGGACGGAGGGTAAACCTAAAGTCCCCTCCGGTAAACCGGTAGGGGACTAAAAACGCTTTTTACTTATCAAAAATTAGTAAAAAATTAAATAAGCCTTCACTGATTCCATATTTTTCAGTTGTAATTACTGATTTATTTTCTGAAGTTTGTGTTTGACAAAACAATGGAATTGCCTGATTGTCGTCAATATAAAATGCACTGTAACATGATATGCATAACATTTTTTTTTTTTTTTTTTTTTTTAGGCCCCAACTGGGTAACCCCTTTTATTTACCCCGTAATAAGTATGAGAGGGTCGGGGTCATCCCTCTGATACCTTACATGATATCTACATAATATTTAAATCATCATCTATAATAATATCTTTTATATAATTATAATATACATTATATTCAAACATTCAATCAATTTTCATATAATATGTATAACAATTATGTATGATAATGTATTATGCAACAGCTTCAAAACAAACAAAGAATATTGGTTTTGGGTAAATTGATTTAGTGTAGCCTATTAGTTTATTAAAGTTCTTACAATTTGCCATCCTTCATTTACATGTTTGGTCAAATTTGTATTTTTGTAAATATTCCACGCCAATTTAAGACTATTTTTAAAACCAGGTATTGTAGGTAACACGATTTTTCTCTTTGACAAATAAATATATCTTTTCAATTCTAAAAACAAAATATCATATTTAAAATCATTAACTTCAGAACCTAAAATAAATGATTTACAATTAAAATTATCATCCAAATTATCTATCTTGTCTTTCAGATATTGAAATAACAATTGAATTTTTGGACATTCCCAAAATAAATGCAACAGAGTTTCCTCTTGGCAATTGCAAAAAGTACACATTTTACTATTGACAATTTTCATTTTGAATAAAAGTGAGTTTGTTGCTAAAGTTCAATGAATTATTCTTGTCTGAAACCACTGAATATAGGAATCTTTGGTATATTTAAATACATAACTATATATTAAATTCCAATTTATATCAAAATTTGTAAAAAAAGAGTTCCATTTTTCTTGACATGTTGGTACATCTTGATTTCTAACTAGAATTTCATAAAACATACTTTTTTGTTATTTTGTGTAATTAAAATAGGTTTTATATAACAACTCATAATAGGGTATTGAACATTAATAAAATCTTTACAAATAGAAATGTTAAGCTTTTGTGTATATAATAATATTGCTTTTTTCAAACTATGATATTGTAAAAAATTTACTTGTTTTTGTGTCACCTGCTCTAAGTACGTTAAATCTACAAAATCGCCTTGGGGATTAATAATATCAAATCTGATTCCTTTTTCATAAAAAAATTTAATATAAAAGTATCTATTTCCTGCTAATAAGTTATGATTGTAAAACAATGGCATTTGTAACACTTGTTCTAAACTGTCTATACAAAGTTTATCTGTAAAAATCATATAAGCTTTTAAAACATCTATCCAAAAAGCATTTTTAATTTTATCAATTGTCAATTTACAAAACAATTTACCTGTGCTAAACACTTTATCAATATTGAATAAAGCCATCACTAGCTTATAACATTTACTGTTACTATTACTAACATACCTTTTAAACCATTTTATCTTTACAGAATGTATATAACTATCAATATCAATCATATTTAGACCACCTTCCTGATATGTTTTAATAACTACTGATTGCTTTATCTTTGCTTTACCTTCCCATATAAATTTATAAAATAAGTCATTAAGTGTTTTCAAAAATGCTGAATTAGGTGTTGGTAAACTTGTAAAGCAATGAGCGAATAAAGGAAGGAGTAATGACTTAACAACAGTAATTTTTCCTATAGGTGTTAACATTCTTTTTTTCCAGTATCCTATACTATTTTTAACTTTTTGAAGTTTTTCATTAAAATTTAACTCTATCATTTTTTCTAAATCAACATCAAATATCAAACCTAACAATTTGAACTGTGTATCACCCCATGTCAGTTTCCATTTTGTCTTAATAGATCTTGTACTGTATTTAAGAGAGCCTATCCAAATAACTTTAGTTTTATCAAAATTTACTTTCAATCCTGAAATTTCTGAAAACGTGTTTAATAACTTTAAAACAGTATTAAGGGAATTTTCTGATCCATCTAGCAAAAGTGAAATATCAAAGTATCATGATATGCATAACATGTTTCGTGGAACAGTAAAATACTTTGGAGAAAACACTCTCTGTTACAACTCAGTCAACACTAACACAATTTGCAGGGATCCCATTAATTGTTGTTTTTGTTTCATCAGTAAAGCATTGAAGTCAACATATGACTTAAAATATGAATAAGAGATCATAATTTGCATCATCAGCAGATCATTTCTACAATTATAGATCATAATCAAAAGTCATGAAATACCCCCAAACATTAAGGAAGTGACAGAAAAAATGATATCTGAAATATATTCTAAATCAATGGTGCTTTTTCGCGACATCTAAGTCAACTAGGAAAGATATAGTATCCTATTCTTAGAAATTGGAATACATTTAAAAACAATATCACTTGGTAGAAATATTGATACAAAAGTTGCAATGACGTCAATACGTGGGACGCTTACTGTAATTACTGTCCCGAATGGAGATATTGGTTTCCGCTTTAGGGCATACATAAAACTAGTTTGTTTAATGATGAGATGCGAGCCTCTGAACATATGATTTCTAATCAAAACGCCTTTTATAGAAATATGTGAAATGGTTACTTAAAGAAAACGAGTTGCAGCCTTCGGCTTCGAGCAAAAAGGTTACCTAGACCCTAACACAAATCAAATATCACATTAACAATAATGTAATAATGTTTGATTTATGTTTATCATGTTATCTAAAATTGTTTAATAAAGATATTTTAATGACAAAACTGAATATTTTCTTTAAATTTACCGAGTTGTATCAATTTAACCTGCAAATCCAAAAAAGTAACCTAGACCCTATCAAAAATCAAATTTACGAATAATGTTATATTGTTTTATTTATGTTAATCATGCCATCAAAATTGTTTATAAAGATATTTTACGACGAAACTGAATATTTTCTTTACATTTACCGAATGTTATCAATTTAACCAGCAAATGCTGAAGTCGTTTCTATTATTATATCAAAACATAGACATATACACCATTTTTTACATCATTTGGTAAACATTTTGATATACTCTCCACGCACACCTTGAGCACCATGGGTGCTTTGCTTCAAATAAGGTTAGTGAACTTGATTCATACTATTGTGCGCACAGACTTTCACCCATTTTATATAGCTTGTGAAATTTTATGAATTTCATTTTGATTTCTGCAATTTCTACGAAACAGTTTCCAAACAACTTTAGTTTCCATCATATATTTATTTTCTTGGCTCAAAATAATTCATTTCAGGAGTGTAAATTGCAAAACATTTCGAGTCATGTCGTTATATTTAACAAACAGCATGAATAAAGTTCTTTATACATATAAAATATATTCATCTATCAGACTTTATCCAATTCAAACAAGTTTGCGCGCACAATGGTAACGCCGGATACCTCACACATGACGTGAATCGAAACGCATCTGCTCTGATGATGCATGTTGAGCAGGCGTGGCGTAATGAGTCCTTGATATTTTTTTGACATATCGGAAACAAAAATCACATTATTGGCTAATTAATTATAACTTGTATCATAGTTTGGGGACCTTTCTGTTGAAAATGCGTCAGAGTTAAATCGTATACATATACGAGGGTTGTCCCAAAATGTCGTAGACTACATTATTTTCTCTTTAACCTGACGTCATAACTTAATAAAATTTACCAGATATCTTCCTTGGTCATTTGTTAATTTACCTTCTTAAGGTAGACCACCCCTAATGCCTTCGGCAAAGTTCGTTCGATGACGGTTATTTACGTGTTCGAATTCGGCTACGGCCGGAAATTTCCGTTAATTTCCGAAAAGAACGTGACATGTAAACTTCCGGTAAGCGGAGTCATGAGTTTACGCGACAAATATGGACGCTTTTCGAGTAAACGGAAAAGAAAATGTGGAAAACATGTTATAAGTACCGATTTTGCTGATGAAATTAAAGACCAAACATCTGAATTACACAAGGAAAACAGTCAGACCTGGAAAAATGGTAGGCGTCTTGTGGAATTTGACGTTTTACTCACCAATCTACGATTGTGTAAATCGTGCCGACATGGACCTGTGCCGCTTATAGAAAATAATATATGTGGCGAACTCCAGAAGGGACTAAGTGGCTACCTTTATGTTAGGTGTTCTGACTGCGGATATGTAAACCGTGTTGCCTACGGGAAAACACATCGTGTGAAAAGGAAGGGGATGCCCTGTTTTGATGTAAACACAAAACTTGGAACAGGTAAACAAATTAATTATGCGAATATCTTCAGTTTTGGTACTTTATAACCAATGTGTCACTTTTTACATTATGATACCTATGGAATTTTCATAGTTAGTAAGTAACACAGGTCACCATTTTATGAAACAACTCGCATTGTTTTTAACTGTTAAACAATTAATGAAATTTTGATGTAACTTAAACACTGAGTAAGTTGGTTTCTTTATTGTTAATTCATTGATGATTATCTGTAAACTATTATTTGTATACGATGTATTTGATACGCTGAAAGGGATTGATTATTTTGTACACTTTATATTCTTTTCGTCCTTGATCACTTTCGTAACTAACAGTATTGCATTTTTATTATTTTATGACAAAGAAATTAGCTAGGCCAAGAAACCAAAAAGCTTGTAATTTTTGTCATAATTTTTTGTTGTGGTTGAATTTAATTTGCGTGTTTTATATTTTCTAATGAATTATGTTTTCAGCAATGATTGATAGCTTAGGTGGACCCGTGAGAGTGAACAATGTCCTGTCAGCATTGAATTTGAAGACCATAAGTGATAAAAACTTGCAAAAGATGGAGAAACGTGCTGGTGAAGTGATCGAGTGTTTGGCAGAGGAATCGACTAGCACTGCTGCCAAAGAAGTGTACAGAAAGGAGATGGAGTAAGTACAAAGATTATTGCACTCTCCGTTTTCTTCTTAAAAATCATTTTAATTTTTTTATGTATTTCATAATTACAAAGAGCAAACATAATATCAGTGACACTTGGCGTTTGCAAGGGCTGCTTTGATGTTTATAAATATATAAACATGAGCAGTTAGTTTCATATATTAAAAGGTATTCTGTCTCTGTTCTGTTTAGAGTGACTGTATAATATTTTGATTGTTAAATACAGCATAAAATTGTGCAATTGTTTGTTAATATTTTATTAAGAAATAAGTTATCCGAAATAGTGATTTTATCGCTCATTAACATCACTGTTTGGATTTTGGATGCGAGGAATTTCATCACAAGGGCATAGCCCGAGTGCTATTATGATGCGCATCCGAACGACAAACAGTAAATCAAGCGATAAAATCACTAATTTGGATATATTATTTTGATTCAAACACGACATCAACAAATAAATGCTGCCGTACCTGATATTTAGCTAAATTGCGCCTGATTTGTTTCCGTACTTATTTGCAGCGCGTCACATTTTTAATGGTAACGTCAGATTATAATGATAACGTCACATACATGTCTAAATATAGAATGTCAACCTGTGATTTTATTGCATAAGAACACGTATTTTTGGTTGTTGTATGTTCAATAGGGAAAAATACGGGTTGTGTTAGAATATAAAATAGTTAACACTTTCCAAAAATGTAAACATCTATTTTGACAATTGCCTTAACAGGGATATTGCCCATCAGGAATCAGTAGAAGCATTGACAGATATGAAGGACATTATAGAAGACCTTGGATTGTGTCCACTTCCTGATAGTTCTCCATCAGTAAGGTATACCTTTTGCTATTTCCATCCAACCACTTGTATGTAGGTAGAACTAACTATAGAAATGCCAGTTTTAAATCAGTTTTTAAACTGGATCTTCCATTTTGTCTCTTTTTAAAGACATAATTTTCTATGATATATTGTACAGCAATGAATTGTTCTTAACACAACCAAGGATCAACTTGCAACAAGTTAATGGCTGTGTTTATAAGTTAAGTCATTTTTTAGCTTGACTATATCAAGTATATGGAGAGCTGTCATACTCGTCCCGTCATCCAGATTTCAGATTAAAGTTTTGGTGCAGTTAAAATAGTTTTCTCTACAACTTTTCATTTCTTAAGGTATCAACTTCAAACTTCTAAATATATGTACCTTATCATCAACCACATCTGATGTGACAAGGTTCTTAACTCTAGCACCAATATTTTAAGATTTTTCTCCCCTTGAACTTACAATTTTTCTTAAAAAATATTATTTTTTACTTTTTCTTCTGTTATTTCTTAAGGGATCAACTTCATACTTCAAATATATTTTCCTTATCATCAACCACATCTTATATGACAAAGTTTATAACTCTAGCACCAATATTTCTGATTTATCCCCCCTTGATTTTAGAATTTTCCTCAAAAAATATTTTTTTTTCTGTTACTTCTTTATTTCTTCATACTTCAAATAAATGTTTTTTATCATTAACCACATCTTATGTGACGAGGTTCATAACTCTAGCACCAATATTGCAAGAACTATCTCCCCATTTACTTAGATTTTTTACTTGAAAATGTTATTTTGTACTATAATATCTTTAGTTTTAAAGGTATCTGAATTAAACATCAAATAATTGTAAATTATACCTTGAAATTTTATAATATTTTTACATGATACGATTAAATAACATTTTTTCTCTGTAAAATCAATTTTAACATAAAATATTAAGAGGATATTTTTTCGTGAAATATGGAATATATTTTCACGAAACATGATAAAATGCCACATATTTTCATGAGCGGTGACGGCAAGTGAAAATATGTAGCATTTTATCATGTTGAGTGAAAATATACACAATATTTCAAGAAAAACGAGAAAAAAAAACTTTTTAATTTAATTTCATTATCAAAGAAAAATGGTTACAAACCCCCTTGCTTGCTACGCAACTGCAATTGTACAGCGCGCAGTAATATAATTATTGTCTTGTTTTGCACACGATATTTAGTGCTACATTGTGACATCACGTAAACAAATCTTTAAACGTCTGTACTGCGATAATGACTGAATTAAAGATATTGGTATTCGGCTATATGTTCTAAGTTATCATTCTAGATAGTTTTCAAAACAAAATTCAACAAAAAGTTGTTTTGTATTTATCAGATTTTTTAAACAAAATGGCGGTTGATAGTTACTTAAAAAATGAGTTTTGACTCCACCCACTTTCATATTTATATTTCATATTTATTTTTGAAAAATATGAAATGTATTTGATATAGCACCATATTTCATGGGTAAAATTACGTAAAGTTTTATATACATATTAAAAGAAGACTATGTAGCTCGTTTATTATTTCTTCCTTAAATATTTAATACAATGTAATATCAAATTTTCAGACAAATTGTAGTTTACGTGCTTTTGTACTTGCCATAAAAATTAAATAAAGTTTCCATTTGATGATTTTTTGTCAGAAATGCATGAGTTTGTGCATGTTGATTTATTTTTATTCTAACTATAACATTCTGAAAGTTTAGAATAGTCATGAAAAAGTAAGAAGTTACAAACATGTATTTTGGTGTTGGTTATGCCTGAATTTTTCTTTTTCAAAATTCCAATCTTTAACCAATATATGTACTTGGTAAAAACTTAGATATCGTTCAACATATTTTAGAGACTTAAAAAGTGAAAATTAAAAATCTTAAATGAACATCTTTATTATTTCAGTGGTAATCTATTTTTACAAACAAAAAATATTTTTTTCATTCATGTGCAATTCAAGCTGATTAATTTGAATAATGTGATATTGTTATTTTCAGTTTGGTTCATGATTCAATATACATGTAATAGCTGGTTGAAAGTGTTTTATACTATGTATGTATGTATGTATGTATGCATGAATACAAGAATAACAAATCATACGTTTAGTTTTTATTAACATCCTTTATTGAATTTTAAATAATTCCACATAATTTGATTTAAGAATATGGAATATCTTACACTTTGGTGGTGAAAATGCTTAACTTTTTTAAGAAAATATGTCCTCAGATTTGGACACTACTTAAACTGAAACTGTTCTTACAAAATATCAAGCCGGTAAAACATTCCCAAATATTTAAACAACATGTGGAGGATAGTATACTTATAAAATTTAAATATACAAAAATGATGCCCCAATAGTATTTTTGTGCAAAATTGTCGAGTTTTATGTCTGTTGCATAGCAACTTGGGCTAAATTTAAACAATTTTATGTTTGATCTAAAAATGAAAAACCCTAATTTTGAATTCTCATGGAATAATTTTTATATTTATAACTCTTGTTGTAATTCTCCAATGTCTACATTACATTTTGATATCAAATTTGACTATTTTGATGTATAGTCAAGATCTGTTATTTTCGGTTTACCTTTGGTGGGTGGGGTAAGCAAAATTTGCGTTTTCAGAAAAAGGGGTGTGTCAAAGAAACATAAAAAAAATTTTTTTTGGGCGGTGAAATTCCTTAAAAATTTGTAAACAGATGAGATAGATGATGTACTTTTGGAAAATAATAAGTTTATTTATGTTTGGAATAGTGCCCATTAGGGGTGTACTACCTTAAAGTAAATAGCCAATATATAAGGTAACGCTTTTATCAGGGTTTTATATCAAACAGTACAACATACCCGGAGCACGATAAAATATTAGTCAGTGTTGAGAGCATGCTTCTTAAAAACATGCCTTTAACTTCCAGCATAATAATTATGGGAAACACATTCCTGTGGAACGACGCCATTCATTTTTACGTCATATCCCAAACAGACATTTATGTAACGCTACTTTGAAAAAATCTGTAGCATAATATGTAACAGCTATGCTATTTTGAAAATGCCCAAAATGGCGACGTCAGATGAAAATGCGGCGCAGCGCGATGTCATTGAATACTGTGTTCAGTTCAAGAAGCGTCCAGCATTAACTGACAACATGGAGAACATTATATTTTATTAAGATAATGCACTTTGCCATAGATCTCAGGAGACACAGCTTGAACTTGATGTGATAGGTTTTTAGAGACTTCCATACGCCCTTAGACTTTGCAGTGTTTCCTTATGTGAAATCACAATTACGAGGTCACCCTGAGGTTCGAAAATTTCAGGGTACTAAGCAAGGAAACTCGACGAGTGTTGAGAACATTAAAGTAGGACTATTTTGAAAATGGTTATGATAAATGGGTCGATCGACACCGACAGTGGATCGAGAAACACCGAGAATACTTTGAAAGACATTTTTTTTTAAATCTTGTAACGTCATGACGTGTATGACGGCGTGCGCCGGGTATGTATAGGTAGCATTCTTTAAAGTTTAATAACTTGGTCATTTTTGGAGGTATTTTGATTTTATTTCGCATAGACACACATAAAAGGTGTATTGACTTTTCCCTGGCTTGACGACTCTATTGTTTTATAATTGATTGAGTAACAGACTTTGTCTACGATATTTTGGGACAACCCTCGTACATGCACAGTGCGTTAACTGGAGTGCAGGTATTAGTTACCCGCACTCCTGAGCACGCCCATCAATTGGTTCATTTTTGCTGGGGTTTACTTTGTGTGACGGAAGAGAAAGAAAAAGCGACAGAAATATGATATTCAGATGCTCGTTCATTGGTTACTTTTTTCTGGGGTTTCATATTGTGACAACAAGGAACGTGTTTTTATGTTTGACTATGATACAAAAGAGAAAGAACACCAAAACACTCGGCAATCTGATTAATACTCGGGGGCTACGCCCCCTTGTACAAAGCAGATAGCCTCGTGTTTCGGTGATCTTTCTATTACATATTATTGAACAAAGAAACAAGCTGTTCTTATTTTCAATGATAAAGTATTGAATAAATGGATTAAAAAGTGTAGTCGTATTTTATAATCTTGAATTTAATCCCAGAATGCATTTTAGGTTTCAAAAGAATTAGATGTGTCAGTATGTGTTTGCCTTGTCTTATAGAGGATACATATCTTTAAAAAAAAACAATTCGATAACATAAGGCAACTTGTTTATGTCAATGATATATTCTGCAGAGATAATTTATATTGACGACATTTGACTTTGATTTGTACATCTAAAAGTATAAGGAATTTCTATTTGCCATACAGCTATTTGTCTATAAATATTCTTTTAAATCAAATGATGGTTTTAGATGCAAGCTACTTCACTTGGCAATAACACCGCGACGGAACATAATAGAACTATTTTGCCATCTATGCAATTGCAATGTTACATGTCAGTCATGTAAACAGCATTATTTGACAATTATTTGTCTCTCAAGAGATTTTTAACACACGACAAAATCTTTGGCAAGTATAATTGCATCAGGAATATGTGACGCTAACTTTATAACCCAAGACTCTTTTAGATTAGCTGTGGGACCTAACATCGTGTTTTATCTTACAATTTGCCCGATGCAATTTACGAAGGGAGCAAAACAAGTGTTTCTATTAGATCGAACGTAAACTAAAACTTAATAAATATTTGGATAGGAAAGCTGTTTAAAATTTCATGTCTTTCAATAGGAAATCTCCCTTCTTAAATAGCACTTAGTATAGGTGCATGTAACGCAATTTCACGTACTTGAATCATAATATTTGTTTAATTAACCGAAAGGAAATAATAACCTGCTTATTCTTACCTTGTGTTTATTTGTTATATTTTTATGTCATGTCTACTTATAAACATCACAGAAAAAAGATTTACCCTGTCACATATTTTGATCTTATTTTCATTATTACATAATAATAATATTATTATTTAGGAAGGTCTTTAAAATTACACTTTGCGTAAAATCCCAAACACATAATATTACCCCAATAATGTTCTTCATTTTTACAATGCATTTAAGGTAAAGCATATTTATTTCCCAGAATATAAAATATACATATTACAGATACACAATTTCAAATATTCATACAAAATAGGATGAGAATGGAAGACGAAGTATGTTGTAATATTTTTTGTAAGTTAATAGTAATTATATAGTAGGAGCTTAAATCATAACATATTAATTTACCTCAAAAGAATATGACTCAGTTAGT